AAAAAAGACTATGGGGGCATTTTTCCATAATATTCAAATAGTATAGAAACTGTAAAATCATACATATTTGATTTGTTAAGAAACATTTTAGATTTATGTAAATATAAACTTCAGGATTTGTCATCTTTTCATATAAAAACTCATTGTGAGATCCACTATAATATATCAGTAATTTCTTTCTCTTAACTATTGTAATAAAAAACAGACAGGCAATTTTTTTTTGTAATTCAACAACCAACCAACAAACCATTCTTAGGTTGTTTTAAAAGGCTAGAGGTCTCAACTTTTAATGCATCAAATCCCATTTCATAACAAATATCACTAAAAATAATTCTTGAATATTGATTCATACTATGGATAACTGGATATATTTTTATATAATCATCAAAGTACAAATCTCCTGAACAGAAATTTAAAGTACATTGCTCATTTTCCAAGAAAAATTCTCCATATAAATATTTTATATATTTCTTTTTTTTTTAAGAAAAAAAAAACAATAATGAAAATAGTATTATTACTAATTTTAGTATATTTAATACGTCTTCTTCAATTTCACGGAGATTAAAGAAAGGCTTAACAAACTTGTGTAGTAAGTATAACAATATCAATAAACATTTCAAAATCATTTGAAAAGGTTGTTAAATGTTCTATGAAAATTTTTTTGTACTCATCAGCAGAATATATATATTTTTCAATATCATTCACTTAGGCCTATCTAATGAATTATATTGACAGCTATAAAAATGATTAAATAGAATATTTTTAAAAAATTGTTTTTTGTTTTCTTTTCATGGCAATATAATAGATTTTTTCTGTTAATTATACTAATGGATTTTATAAATATAATTTTGACCTACTGTGGTTTGAAATAGGACTCAGGGTTTGTCAAAAAAAAGAAACAGGAGGAATATTTTTTTTGGGGAGGATGTTAATTTTGAAAGCAATTGTAAAAGCTGTACATTTAACTGGCTACTTTAAATGTAGTGTTGACTCTTTAATCTTCAAACTACTAATGATTTGTTTCAAAATGTATCTACAATATATATAAGCCATATGAACAACCATGTGGGAAACATGCCCCAAACTAAAGGATTATGAGGACATCTTTGGAATTGACATACTGGGTATATTTTCAAAATTAACTATGCAAACTATTCGCTGCAGTTTCACAACTGTCTCATTTAACTAATTGAAAAATTCTTATTGTATCTTACAACGGGAAAATTGAAATATTTTCTTTTTAGTAATTATGAATGAAGGAAAAGAAATGGATAGAGTTTTGTCAAAAATTATATAAATTATATTGTACTCAACCTAGCAATCATTATGGTAATAAAAATGACTGAACTCGAAAGAAAACATTCTGTTTTAAACCTTTGATGTACAGCTTTCTCAAAAAATCCTTCAAGAGATCAATAAATAGTAGGCTAAATTGTTTACACAACCTATAAACTTAGAACTCAAGTGTTTATGACTCACTGCTATAGGCCTATTCAGTTGTCAAATTTTTATCCAAATTATTGTTATGATTGATTTAGAGATAAAATTTTCTTATTTTTCCTTTCATCTTTCTTTTTTTGTGTATATTGTAATAATATAAACTGAAAAAAGAAGGTAGTTTCTCTAAAATCAACTATTAATTAAAATCTTTCCATAAAAGAAGGATAAGGGAACAAACTTGTTTCATTTAGAAATTGCATAGTTTTAATCTGTGTGCGTGGAAGAAATTTCAAAAACAATGAATATATTTTCTCCAATTTACAAGGAACATCACAAGTTTTATAGAAGGTTGGAACTTATCTATTGTAAAAGTGATGAGGAAATGAAAAAATTTTGGCAACCCACATCTGTCAGTCAAGTATCACTACCATTTCAAAAGGTTATTCGCTCTTCTCAAAGGGATAGACAATATGGAATATATTTCTTTGATGATGAATCAGTTGCTAGATATATCATTGCTATTATCAAAAGAATCTTGGAATATGATATTGATGATATATTGAAAGTGGATTGTTCTTTTATTGATTTTTTACTTCTTATCAGTGAAGGCATATATCTACACAATTTTTTTGCAAAGATTTTAACAGAAACGAATTTCTATGAGTAAATTCAGAGGACACTTGCACATCTACTAGAATTATTTGAGAACAAGTTTCATTCACAAGGCTATTTATGCTTAGTAATTGGCTTTGTAAAATTTTTAATCTTCATATATAATTCACCAATTTTGTCAGAGTTGAATCAAAATGTAAAACTGAGGTTGTACTTTGTTGTATTGTAATTGTAGGAAAATCTGCTTCTTCAATCATTGATCAACTCACCAAATTACTGGTCCAAATAGAACCTTTTAAGTTCATCCACAAATAGTCTTAATAAATGTAATTTAGGTATATATTAATCAACAAAATGCCAGTTTATCATCCAAAGAATATGTATTGAGTAAATGAGTTTCTAGTTCTAAACAAGTAAGTTTAAACAACCAGCTAATGGTTAAAGAACTGAACTGTGGAGCTTCAGACCTGAAGCTTTCATAAAGTGTCATTTTCCATTATTATGAATTCTTCTAAAGCAGAGTGAAACTTGTACATCATCAAGAAATCTGCACAACTTATTATTCATTCTTCAAAATGAAAACTATCCTAGAAATATCCAAGAATATTTTACAGAACCAGACTCTTAAAAGAATCAGACATCAGCAATTGGATACAGATTATAAAGATTATAGTATGTGTCTTTTAAGTCCAATAATTTATAAACCTGAAAGATTGTTAAATAGGAAATCCAATAGTGATACTCTCGCAACTATTACAAAAGTGGCTGGTGGTGTTGCTAAAGGACTGAATACAGTGTGCTGTACAACTTTCGTTCTATTTTATTCTTATACTATACTATAAATGAGATTGAAGATGACTTCTCAGAGCAGCCATTTCCTAACACACCAAGCCCAGGAAAAGATCAATCTGAGAAACAGGAGCCAACTCCTGTGATCCTACTCAAACCAAGATGAAGAGACTCATCTTCACAAAGAAGGGGGAAGTTGTACAACTTTCATTCTATTCTAGTCTTATTCTATACTACTATTATCTATAACTTACTACAAACTGATGCAACAAAATACAATAAAATGTGGCCTAACACAGACCTTATTGGTCATACTTAAGGTTCATCGTAAGTACCACTTAAGTTTTGGCCACATTATGATTGATCAGCTTGTCTATGGTTTTTGCCAAACTATGATTAATTAACTTTCTCAAGTGGGCAACTCTGTAACATATTGTTCTAAGGACAAACATGAACTAGGTGAGTTCACAGCTGTAAAGTGGTGATTGGACAGTAGAGACAAGTCTACAGTTATATAAACTCTGACTCTTTCACTCCAACTGGCTAACCTCAACCTGGGATGATCAATTGGAACCAACATCCACAAGGACCTTTCTACTTACTCAGCATTGAACACTAGTTTGGTAACTTGGCAACCTACTGTTACCCACTACTGACTCTGCTATTGAACTTTTGCATTGTTACTTGCTTAAGTATTATATTTTGAATGAAGCACTTCAATTGAAGCACTTTGTTTAAGGTCTTAGTTAGATTACTACCAGGCTGATTATTGACAGGCTTGATACATGGAGAGTTCAATATCTGCATAACCTACTATCTTTTCACTGTTTGACACCTTGATTGTAGTCAGAAGGACAATCAACAAATTTATGACAATTTTCTAAGTGGCGTTGTTGAAAACACTGACAGCCTCATTATTTTACCTTAACCCTAACCCAGCCCTAAAACCTGTTTCAAATAATTATTGTTTTTTAAAAATTTAGAAGGAATAAATCTCATATTCAGTTTAAAATTTTATATCATTTTGTACAATAGGCCTTTTCTTTCTTATATTCCACTTTGTCACTTCCTTGCAATTACCTATATTTGGTAAATTTCAATGGTTGGAATACTTGACCAGTACATTTTCAGCAATTCTCTTGCTAGAAGAATTTTCATCAATCGTTTTTGTTTTTCTTGGTTGTCACCAGCCCTTTTAAGATTGCTTCTTTAAATTTTATTTCTGTATTGGTTATTTTATTTTCAACAGCTACTTCTGAATTATTGAGCATATACTTTTGAATTGAATATTACTCCTTCTGACCATTTTTCAATCCAAAATCTTGCTTTCAAAAATCTCACTTGGGGATGTTTTCTGTCAGCCCCAAAAAATACAAAATAACAAACAAGTAATAGAAACTAAGTAGCCATGGAATGTTTAACTCCACTAATCCATCTAAAAGATTATCTAAAGTAATTTTTGTAGTTCCCAAGTTGTCCCATAAATCAAAGATTTTAGATTGTAAGTATGTTTGTTTTGTTCTCTGCATTCCCTTTAATTTGTTTTCAGAGAGTAGCTTCTTAAAACATGGAGAAATGAAACAAGTTTCCCTATTGTTTGTCTTAATGGTTTCCATGAAATAGACAACTTATAAGAATTTATGAACTGTTTAAGAGGGTGTAGCTAGAACAAAACAGTAGTCTTGCACAACTTATATGAAAAGTGTTGTTAGTATAAAAAAGCTTGTGTTAATATCTGCATGTTTAAAAGGTAAACTAAACAGCATTCTAAGGTTAAGGCCCTCCCTTCCCCAAAGATCTTCCTGCAAAGCCTAGATATTTTTAATAGTGTAGATTTTCATACATAGAAATTAACAATGAAAGCCCCTCTGTTATCATGTCATAAAAAAGTTCTGTCTAGGCATACCAATATGACACATTTGATTTATAGTTGAAGATATTAAAATAAATTATTGTTTGATTTTAAAATGAATTAAAATTCAATGACATCATTGTTCACTTATGGAGGCTTTCCAACAAATGTAAAGACTATGTACATTGTGATATTTCCATATAAAAATATATATGTGTGTGTGAATATAAAGAGAGTATTGTATATATATATATATATATATATATATATCATATACACTTATCATTTTTGAGGCAAAAAAGCTCAAAATGAAAATGATGGGCAGACAAAGTTATTTTACTCTTTCACTGCTGTTTCTTAGTATATTTTTTTGTTTGTATATAACAGGTTTTTATTATTCTTTCTTATATTGATTTTTTTTTACAGCTTGCTTAAATGCCTTTGAATTTTTTATAAAATATACATCTTTAATTACTACAAACTCCAGACCACTTTTTAATATTGAAAAGTTTATAGGCTCACCAACTTGCAGGTATATTTGTTTATTTTTTCATTTGTTGTATTAAAATTATTAATTCAACACTCCAATGTTTATTTCAGCTTAAAAACAAGAAAACCTGATGGAACTGAACTATATAGAGTATCTCTTGATCTAACTGATAGTATTATTTATCACACTTTTCCAGACAATATCTTTCAAAATATAGAAAAAGTCGTGACAATTACTCACAGCTTTACATGTACTGAAGGAGAGAATTCTGCTTCTTTTGACTTGAAATCTCAATTTTTCCGTAAGGAATTTTTTGTTTTCACATTAAATATTTACACATATGTACATTTCTTTGATTTTTTAATCTAGCTGTTGATTACATACCTCAACTTTTTGAAGTCAAGATTAAAATTTCAATGATGGAAGAATCATCAAAAGACATCTTTTTCTTTAGTGATGGTTTTAAAACCTATTGCAAGTAGGTACTACTTCAATCTATGAAAATGTAAAGCTTTTATGTTTTTTCTAGCTACTCCATTCCCAATGCTAATGAAGCATCCTTGAATAAATATGAAAAAGTGTTTATTGATAAAACTGAAGATATTGTTACAGCTACTAAAATTGGTTCAACAAAGTCAACATTGATGAGATTAACTTGTGAAATAGTTGAATCAGCTGAATTTAGCCTGGAAATTCCAATTTATTTTACCCTTAACAGTGATCCATGGACTTCTGTATCAGGTGATCCACATATGAAACAAATTGTTTTGGATTATCCAAGTTTGATTACTAAGGCTATATGCTATGATGTTAGTGGCTCACCTGGAGATTATTTACATATTGCTGGCTTTAGTTTAAGTGGAATTCAAGTTTATGGACAGCTTAAGGATGATTACTATATGCATAAGATCATTATAAAATCTGATTCTGGTAAAATAACTACTTCAACTAACCATATCATTCTTGACAATGGACAATTAATTAACTGGACTGGAAATATGCAAAAAAGTACCTTTAAATCTAAAGAATTTCAATATTTGATTACTAGAAATCATGTCTTTATAACATCATTAGAAAATGGTGGAAAAATGATTAAAATAGAGAAATCTATACATTCTTCTTCAGAAAATCACTTGGATGCAAGTTTTAAATTGTCACCAGATGATTATAAAGAAATGGATGGACTTGTAGGTGATATTGGAAAAAAGAAATACATATTTCATGAAGAAATTCAATCAGACAGGAACATTGGATCAAAATTTATTTCTATAGACATTGATAACAAGATAATAAAGGGAGTAAAAGTGGAAAGAGGCAATGAAGAATGTTGGTTGATTAATGTTAATGATATATTAAAACCATTCAATATATCAAAGTATCTCTACAAAACTATGCATGTTTTTTAAAAAACACACACACAAAGTAATAGTTTTATTATCTGTCTTAACATTTGTCTTTTTTAAAATTTTAGCTTCTTAATGGCCTCTTTCAATTATTTTGTGTATGACAAAGTATCCAAAAAGCGATACAATTCTTTTACGGATTTAATAAGTTTCATATCAATGACACAGCTTAATTAATAACATATATAATTGCATAATTTCCACTAAAATGCTTCAATTCAGAGACATTAAATAATTATCAATAAAATCTATTCTTATATGGGAATGTATTGGTGTTCTGTCTGAATCTGCTCACCTCCCTTTCTGAGAATGACAATGATTATTCATTATTGTTTATTCAATTATTGTAGTAAATTTAAAAGTGAAAATCATTCATAAGGTTAATCTTAATGAATAATTGTTTGTCTATGTTGAAGAATTGAGAGACCAATGTTTGTCAGATCATTCAATTCAAACATTTTTCACTTTTTATATTTTGGCAAACATCATCTTGTTCATCTTCACCATTAGAACAGTGAGCTTTGAAATCACACAGTTGAAATATCTCGGTATATATATATTTCCATAAATTCCAAAAATACGTTTTTTCAGTTAGAATAGGATTACATTCAATATTTGAATATTTCAAAACTTGTTCGAAAATGTCCAGAAAAATTATGAATGCAAAATTCACTATTTAAATTTGTGGTAGCCTATTAAAATGAAAAACGAAAATTAGGAACCGAACAAAAGACAATATTTGCCTACAAACTAGACTATGACAGATGGCGCCACCATTACCTTGGTAAAGGAACAAAAAGCTTAAAAAGGGAATATTTTCCTGAAACTATTGACCTTACCAAACCTAAAAATGTTTGTTACATTTTAGGCAAACCAGACAAACTTGACATGAGCATATAACTTTAATAGCCTGAAAGCAAAAGTTGATAAAAGCTGTCTTTCATACATTTTAAATTAAAGACCTAATTGGCAAAAATGATAAAAAAGTAAGATTTTTTAGGGTTAGGACTATGTTCTTAGGCTTATTGATTATAGGGGAAAAGAAACATTTACATAAAAGAGAAGAGTGAGAATGAACAAAACTCACCTGTGTATGAACTATTGAATAGTAGTATCAAATATTAATAATATTTTTTAACAGATTAGGCTCATTTTGATCTAATCCAAAACCAAATTTTTTGGTTAATGATAGAAAGTAGGATTGCAGCAGTAGCATGAAAAATGTAAAAATGATTCATTAACTAATTTAACTTTTTTTTAAAAAGTCTTAATTCTATATTATTATACTTGTAAGTTGTTTTTCATAATCTTTATATTAGAAGGAATATACTTCCTGGTTTGTCAAAACCTTAGAATTTTATGGATGTTTTCTATTTAGCCTATGCCAATTTATTGGAAGAAAGTGTGTCTGTAAGCATTTTGCTAGGTTTTCTTGTCCATGAAGAAAATACATGTATTAAAAATGGAAATAGATGTTGTACAAACCGATGCAAGGAAATACAATAACATGTGGCCTAACACAGACCTTATTGGTCATACTTAAGGTTCATCCTAAGTACCACTTAAGTTTTGGCCACATTATGATTGATCAGCTTGTCTAAGGTTTTGGCCAAACTATGATTAATTAACTTTTTCAAGTGGGCAACTTTGTAACAGATTGTTCTAAGGACAAACATGAACTAGGTGAGTTCACTGTACTTTGTTGTATTGTAATTGTAGGAATTTCTGCTTCTCCTGAACAGTATTTGTCTTCTTCAATCATTAATCAACTCACCAAAGTACTCAAACAAATAGAACCTTTTAAGTTCGTCCACATATAATCTCAATAACTGTAATTTAGGTTGAAATGAATCAACAAATTGCCAGTTTATCATCCAAAGAATATGCATTGAGTAAATGAGTTTCTAGTTCTAAACAAGTAAGCTTAAACAGCCAGCTAATGGTTAAAGAACTGAACTGCCAAGCTGGGGAAATGTATTTCCTTTTATACATTTACCAAAGCTTGGGTTCAATTGTTCAATGATTAAAAAAAGGTGAGACACAACAGTCTCATAATCCACAAGAAACAAAGACAACAAAGACTATTACACCTAGATCATAATGATAAGGCAAACATGACATGGTCAACATTTGCCACTGCAGATTAAGTCTGCCTCATCAACATCTGGCATTGCCCAAGATGTCACAACTTTGACATGCATCTTTTCCATGTTCTTTGTTCCTTTGTTAACTTCATAGTGGCTCCATCTAATATGGGCAAATGATCTATTTCCTATGAAATATAGTTGTTTCTAATGTTCTAGAATCTTATTCTACGAGATAAAAGCCTTTCTAAAGTTCCACCATTATAATTTCTACGAAATAGAAGTTATTCTAGAATTCCTCTAACCTAAAGTCTAAATGCCAATATGTCAATATATCTAAGTGCACATTCACAGCTGTAAAATGGTGATTGGACACTAGAGAATAGTCTTCAAGTATATAACTCCTCACTGCTTCACTCCAAGTGGCTAACCTCAACCTGGGAGGATGAACTGGAACCAACACCCACTGGGATCTTTCTACTTCCTCAACATTGGACACTAGTTTGGTAACTTGGCAACCTACTGTTTCCCACTGCTTAATCTGCTACTGAATATTCATATTGTTACTTGCTTAAGTATTATATTTTCAATAAAGCAATTGAATTGAAACACTTTGTTTAAAGGTTTGAGTAGAATCAGTACTTTTATAAGTTGCAAATGCATAAATTGGCAAGACCAAAGCAGTACACTATGAAGGGAAAATGTTGAAAAAACCAAAGCAGTACAATATCTAAGTGCACACCTTCACAAAAATTATTCTTATTCTGTGAAAAGAAAAACTGAATGTTCCTTCACCTGGAGATTTACTCAAAAGAGATCAATGTTCATGGTAAAGAATGAGAACAATCTTCATAAGCAAAAACTGACAATTTTTGGAGGTTGATGTTTTATCTATAAATATTTTAATATGGCGTCTTGAGTAGCAAAATGAAAACATTGGTGGTATAAGATGTTTCAATAGAAAAATCAATAGCCCATTTTACAATCAATGCCGTGTCTATACCAACATCCCTATTTGTTGTTTTAAATACCTGTGCAACGGCTTCATTATGGAGTAGAGCAATAGTATCAGTTGATCGTTTCATTGCAGTAGCTTATACTTTTAGAAACGATTCTGCCATTTACAGTTTGATTTGTTGCTTTAATTAATGTACATTTCTGATATATTCTGATTTGTGAATTTTGCATTGTATTCTAAAGAATCTCCTTTAGTGAATGGTTAATGATAGAATACCAATGTTTCATCTCCTGTAACAATTTTTTGACAAAAAATCCTCTCATTCTTCACCATACTTTTCTAGATGTCTTCTGTAGACATCTCTACCCTTGTCTTACAATCAAGTTTGTAGGTAATCCATCTTGAGACAATCTTTTCCATCACAAGACCTAAGGAACTCTTCTAATGGTAAATTATCAGTTATGTTCAAAATGACTAAATGTACCAAATGCTCAATACTGTTATTCAAAACTTTAAAATAATTAGCATGAACTACCTTAAAATTATGAATGACTGTTTATTGATAAGATTGAAATACCAGTTATCAAATATCAAGAGAAATATTCACAAAAGACTGAAGTAACATTCTTTGTAAAGAAAAACTTGAAATGTTAATTTAAAATGAATATTTTACCTGAATTTCCCTAAATAATGTCTGTGTGAAATGGAATACACACCCATGAATTATTGATTTTGGATATATTTTGGATACAGCTCTCCACAGACCCATCTCAAAATCCATTGTAATCTTCTGATGCTGTGACATGCCAGTCAGATTTCTGATACTCTAAAATATGAAATAGATTTTGAAAAGTGTTCTAACTTCCCCTTTATAAAAGTTTTCCCCTGCTGGCTTATTCTTGCAGAACACCTTTGTTTTTTGGTCCTTTTACTATGCACGCAGATGCTGCTTTTAGAGGTTTTAGCTTTAAGTGTGAATGAAAATCCAGGAATGGGAAAACTCATCCTTATTTTGGGAAAACTTATCCATTTATTTATTACAAAATTCGAAAAGAATGTTATGATGAATTTATATATATGAATAAATCTTTAATAAATGGAGAAATAAGTAAAATATTTAAAGAGAAATAGATAGAAATTAAGAGAATTGAAAAGAATACTATATAGACTATTCTTCTAGTGTTCAATCACCACTTTACAGCTGTGAACTCACCTAGCACATGTTTGTCCTTAGAACAAAATGTTACAAAGTTGCCCACTTGAGAAAGTTAATTAATCATAGTTTGGCAAAAACCATAGACAAGCTCATCAATCATAACATGGCCAAAACTTAAATGGTACTTAGGATGAACCTTAAGTATGACCAAGAAGGTCTGTGTTAGGCCACATGTTATTGTATTTCCTTGCATCGGTTTGTAGTAAGTTATAGATAATAGTAGTATAGTAGAAGAATAAAAGAGAACGAAAGTTGTACAATATGATAAAATATCTTTTCCTCTCTGAACTCCTTCCAAGCAAAACTTGACACTCTTTATCTACATATGTTGCTTCTTCTTTTTTGGTTTGAACATTGTTCATCAAATAAATTGAATGTTTTACAAATAAAAAAAGAAGAATAATTAAAATCTAGATTCAATTTAATATAAATGAACCTCTCTCCAATCTTCCAACATAAACTTTGTCCAGAAATATTTAGGAGATAGATCTTGACTTTCAAAGCAATTTGTTTTCAAAGTGAAATTTTTTTAATGAGTGTTATTTAAATTTTCAACAATACTTTTATTGTTTTTGGTTCAATTATTATCATTTAATAATGTAATATATGTACAATATTCAATATGTATTCTCTTCATTTTGAATTAACTTTTTATGGGTATGGCTTCATCAGCCATGGGTACAATTTCATCCAAGGACAGTTTCACTCACTCTCCTTTTTAATTACCTCTACACTTTGGACATAAACTACCAATCAAATTACTGTATCTAACAATTTTTCAATCTGAAATGTTGCTTTCAAAATCCATTTGGGGACATTTTCTGTTTGCCCCAGAATATCTAGTTTATCAAATGAAAAAAGCCTCTAACATTCCAAAGCAGATAGCTTGTTCCAGTGGCACTTGTTTAAAAAATATAATACCAGTATAGATACCTTTTGTTTCATTGTTTCTTTAGCTAGATTTGTTATGATTTTTAAAAATAGTTAAAGATATTTATAATAATGCTTTTCAAACCATATCACTTGTCACTTTAAATATAATTTTTGA